GCATTTCCGCGTTTAGCGGTAATCTTCAGTCATCGGTTGCGTTGAAGCCGTTGAATTCCGATCTGTACCTGTCGTCTGGGTCGCCATCATCATTGCAGTCCAACCGAGTAATTTCGTTTGCCATCACCTTTTGATTTTAATCTCTGATGCTTAACATTGTTGCATTCGTTTTCTGACACGATTTCAGTTTGAAATGTTTAGTTCGACTCGGGAATGGGAAAACTGCCAATGGTAAACTCGATTGGCAGTGGTTTGATCAACTCTGCTGTTTCGCAACAGTTTCCAAATGCTGCATTCGCTTCTGCTCCTTTGCCTTCCTTATCTCCAACACGCCACTGTCAGCCGCTGATCGGTGGCGTTCCATCTGACGGTCCAGGTGTGTTTGCTATTGCTATGGGGAATAATATTTTGAATCGAACGCACGCTCTGCTTTCCAGGTTTATTGAAAGCTGTTCCCCCTCCTACCGGATGGGGCGCTGGCTTCGCGATGAGTGGGAATATGAATAGTGTCAGTCCGGTTATAAAGCAAGGTTTGTTTTTTGTGTTTAAAAAGCGTTGTACAAATTTTTTTCTGGTCTCGTTTCTTGCTGATGGTCGGTTGTAATCAAGATGTTTCAGGAATGGCATCGCAGCCTGTCGTCAATACTCCCTTCTCCGATGCAACTATGCCGGACATATCGCAGGTCTTCTGCGAAGAAGTTCAGAACGAAGCGAATTCATACTTTCAGCAGATCTATACGCAACCTCCACAGCCGTCTATGTCCATAGAACAGTTTCTTGAAATACTCAAGCGCTTTCGCGATTCGCCCGTCAAGAAAGAAAGGGTATCGCTTCTTTAGATTCATATGAAGTCGATTGTTCAAATCGTTTCTTCCATCGTCTGGTAGTGATAGTGCTGAAATTCACTTTAATTACTTTTTGGCTTTTACATAATGAGCTGTTCTTCACGCTTGTCAAAGCACTTGATAAGATAAGTGAAATCGTACGCTTAGTAAATACCTTAGAAACACTAGTATAGCTTGCGACAGCGCTATCGTTACTAAGGCGTGCTTGACGTCATTCTGGAACAGATCTGCTTTAACAAGCCCTAAAAACAAATTTCTTTATGAAAGTAAACTTCATGATCAAAAGCGGCTAGTTAAATTTTGAGCGCAAAGATTGTATATCCATATATCCAGTTCAACTCAATTTACTTCAGCTTTCCGGTTAGAAAATGGAAATCTCGCAGCTGTTAGATTCATGAAACAATAGCAGAAATGTCGAAACTGTATCATTATTTGCTATTTTTTCAGAGGTCAGCGACATTACGTCATCTGTTACTTTCACAGCTGAATGTAGTGTATTATGTTGCATGATGTGTTGAGCGTATTAGTTTTCCTGTGCATTCCTATGAAAAACTTTATTTTGCTTATTATCGAAAATTTATTGTTGTATCTAACAGAACACTGGTATATCAGAGGCAGTGTCCAACGGGGGTTTCTCAAGAGAAAATTGTTTATTGCTCTGTTTTTTGTCATCCACAGTAGCTACGATGTTTGGAGCCATGAGGTTTTGTGTTGAATCTCGAAACCGCAGCAGCTGCAAAGATGGCGACAGTTGCAGTCTTAACCTTTACACTGAAAAAATTTCAGTACGATTTATATTAATTTTTTATTTTAATAATTCTGATTTATTATCTGACTTTGTTTTATGCACTGAGTTAACGCCGCATTTTTTGCTCCATTTAACGTA